TTTCATTATGATTTACATATGATTTGATAATTTCTGATATGTTGAAACACTTTTTTTTATCTAAATAAACATTATCTGTTCTATAAATTGACATTACGCCAGAGAAGAGATTGCTCCGCCCACTGATTCATGTGACCCGATCATTCAGAACCTTAGACAAAAGACGGTACCGACGTTTACGCGAAACTGTCATGCCACTTAAGTGACTAATGAATTTACCTTATATCATTTGGTATATATAAAATTTTAATGCTTTTATTGAATAGTTCAATGTATTATGGTATTTAAAAAAGTATTCACGCATTAATGATGAATAAAACGTTTGGCAAAGATCTTGTTATATTTCTAGCTGACATCAAGGAAGATGTTACTGACAAAATATCATTTTAGTTTACAAATTCAAAGATAGTGAAAATTGATGTAGTGGAACATATAATAGTAAAATTATATCAATGAAACAGTAAGATTTACAAATGTTTTTGGGGTTTTATGTGCGAAATCACTTATATATAATGCATTTGCGCATAAATTGTCAAAATTAAATGAGAAAATTGCCCATGCGTAACTTTGTTATATGTTTATTTGTACATTAGATATTTTCGTGATAAAACGCAATATTATTCACTTCAAAATAAATTTCACATATACCATACCTCAACTTTAAATTAAAACCGTGATCAGATATGATGTTATTGAAGCAGATGTATTTAAATAATTAATCTCAATTCATTGAGCTTTAATAGAAATAATTTGGTAGGATAATTTCACCTGAAATATTTATTGCATATTTTTTCATTTTATTTGCAAGTACTTTTTTTCTACTGCAGCATTTTATTGCCACTATGTTATAAACGAACAAAAATGTCATATCATCTGGATATCCTGAGACCTTATAATATTATGTGATTATGAAAAGACATAATTGTAATGAAGGAAGGAATAGAGTATTTGTTAAAACTTTTTTCTTGTTTAATGCAATGTGGTATAGCCAGTTTTAACTTTCGTACCTGCTATATAACTTATTATCTTCATATATAGAAAGTTACTGATTTTTTGTTTTTTGTAAAATGAACTAACTTATTCCCTCTGTCAATATGTCAGGATATTTTGTAACTTAGATATACCGTTTTAATAGCTTTAAATTGACAAAAAAATCAAAATTTCAATATAAATACTGCTGCACCATTGTCTTATACACATAGCCTGTCTAAGGAAAATGGCGGACTTCTCAGACATCTTAGCATGAAACTGAAAACGATCGCCTATTAGCTTATCTGTAAGACCCCTGCCAGCTTGATTGACAGGCGGCGTAATGTCAATTATACTGTAGAAATTATATAACAAGTTTGCATAAAATTGGCGGCCATATTGGACGCCATCTTGGATTGACAAGACGTATGAAGCGGAATTTTGGAAGATTTAATTTTTGTAAAGGAGACACTTTAAACATGTTTTGGTGTAAGTTTCAGGTCGTTAAAAAAAATTTGACCGAATGAGCTATTTATGTACGTGAAATTTATATGGCGGCCATTTTGAAAATGGCGGCCATCTTGAATGAGCAGAGATATTTTTGGGCCCACTTCTTTTTTGAAATCTACGTGGTCTAAAGATGATTTCCTGAAAGTTTCATGCTTGTATCACCATTTGCACTATTTTCTCAATTTCCCGCCCCACTATAACCATTGATTGTTGAAATACCCGACGGCAAAATATTTTTACATATTTATTTAATGCAGCTTTAAACGTATTCAACAACTCTATTTGGAATGAACCTCCTAAGGAATTTACAATTTTGTAATTATGGATTAATTTCTATGAGGCTATTTATAATTGTTCTAAGAAATAATAACTCTAAAATTGTACTTATGATAGCCTAATAAGAACATTGTTACTCCTAATCAAGGGAAATAAAAGAGCCTGATTAGAACTTTGTTGCTCCTACTAAAGAAATTATTTATCTACTGTTTGCTTTGTATTAAGAAGTTACAAAGTTCAAATTAGGATTTTATTTCTCATTATAAGGTTTTCAAGTTTCTAATAAGGACTTTCGGTTTTCTAATTTATAAAAGAGGACTTATATAATCTTAATTAAGACTGTATATAAGTCCTATTAAGGTTATAGCAAAATCCAAGTTAGGCGGTTAAAATTACATGTTGAAACATATTTATTATAATTAGGAATTAAAAATCCAAATAGTAGTTTAAAATCCTAATTATACTTTTTATTTCGTTAATTAAAGTAAGATATTCCTAAATAGGCTTTTAAAACTTCTTGTAACCAGTTGTTTTTTTATTGTCTTTTATATTTGAATATGTTATGAAATTTCGACCGTGCGACCACATACACGCATCGAGGACTTTGGAGGGAAGAGTGATCGTGCGTCCACATACACACATCACAAAAATTCCCCTTCTCATACGAGAAAGGGACAAACTTGTCCGCCCCTTTAAAAAGGGGCAGACTATAAAAAATATGCCGTATCCTTATTCTTAAGATAAGGAGGCTAATTTCCACAACGATTTTGAATTAGTTAATATACTACTATAGTTATGCAAACCAAGCGGGTTTCAGTTTTCGTCCTTTAAAGTTCGCTATGAAAATTTCAAAAAGTTCATATCTAATTTTTAGGAAAATCTTTACAGCTCTTTCTACTTTTCTTTTATGTATTTAATAGAATTAAATGGGTTTTTATTCTATTTCTGCAAAACATGAACGTTTCAAAAACGTTTTATACGAGGGTTGTCCAAAAAATTCGTGCACTGCAGTATGCACATAAAAGTGGGAGATATATTTCACACTTTGTAAATATTAACCTGGGGGCATTTTTGCCATAATACAAATTTACTTTCTGAACTTGTAATAGAAAAGGTAATGTGATGGACAGCAAGACAAAAATAGATTAAACTTGAGTAAGATTTGCAAATCTATTTCTACACATGCAATTTTTTTGTGAAATGGACTTTTCAAGCTTCCATTATTGGAAATGTCCATTGTCAATCTGGAAGTATCAAGATAGAAATATCATGAAGTCAACCCCAAAAGTACAGAGCCTGATCAGATTGCACGGATGTGCAGCCTGGCTTGGCTTGGCTCTACTGTGGTTATTTCATTTGAGCCGCGTCACGACAAAACCAACATAGTGGGTTTGCGACCAGCATGGATCCAGACCAGCCTGCGCATCCGCACGGTCTGATCAGAATCCATGCATTTCGCTTACCAACCCTATTACAAGTACAGAACCTGATAGCGAACAGCATGGATCCTGATCAGACTGCGCGGACGCGCAGGCTGGTCTGGATTCATGCTGGTCGCAAAAGCACTATGTTGGTTTTGTCGTGACGCGGCTCATTTGATTTTAATTCCAGCAGGGTAAAAGTGCAGTGTTGTTTTCAGTTTTCAAGTTGTCATATTTACACATTTGACAGTTCATTTTGATCGAACGCCTCGGACTGGTACTGTAAGGGTTGTCGGCTGTATGTATGGGTTCAAGTCCCATCAGTGTCAAGTCGTTGTTTCATTAAGCAAGAAATTTTATACCCAATGCTTAGTACCAATTATATGAAAATAAGGTCTGTCTATATTATTTAAAAAATTTCTGCTTTCATGTCATTACAGTAGATCTATCGTCAATCTGAAGTCATTAAATAAGTCGGCCAAATTTGCATAACGACTTAATTTTTGCCGTAATGACCTTCAAATACCCTGGATTCTGTTACTATATGTAGTTATGGGTTCTCTGTTTATAAAAGATTGATGCACTCCGTAATTTTCAGTATTTTTACTTTTTTCTCTCTTTTTGTTGTTGTTGTTGTTGTTGTTGAAAATCTATAGTTTCTATACTTTCGAGACAGATTTTTTTTACCTTAGATGTTCTATTTATTTACCAACTTTGTTTAAATGACTGCGCTGTCTGTTACAATGATTGCACTGTCCTTTTAAATAACTGTATCTTTAAATAACTGTTTGAATAACTATCTGTTTAAATAGATGTTTAAATAACCGTCTGTTTAAATACCTGTTTGAATAACTGTCTGTTTAAATAACAAAAGATTTACCTGACCCAAGAATTAAAGAAGATTGTTAACAAAATAAACATCAATTTTCTTCTTTAATATTTTTTCAGCACGCCGCCAGATTCACGCTAATTTTCATGAAAATTTTGAAAATGTATTTGAATGTATAATATTGTGAAATAACCAAAAGGAAGCAATTTGCACATTATCAATGTCACTTACAACACACGTAAATTACCAAAATGTTGTCAAAATATGCAAAAATAGCCCTTACTGCGTTAGTAACGCAGTAGAAATATAGTTGTAAATATTGAAGAAAAAAACAGTCATTAACCGCACATAACATGTAAAATATTACTTGAATCTTGAATCATTTTACTTTTTCTAAAATCTTAGTACATATTTTTAAAGTTTGGTTTTATTGAAATATTTTGACTCATCTGGATGCATGCAGTTTTAAAGTTGTTGATCAGCATCTTTCAATAAACGATGATTTTATAACAGACTTAAAGAGTTACCTAATATATACTTTTAACTTAATTTTACATCGGCGCATTTCGCATGCGTTTAACTGTACACAATCAATGTGAAGTATTCGACTGCAGTTAAAATTAACAAAACAAATTTTCTTAATGATATATTATACATTTTTGTATGTTATTTGCAACATACTTTTTCTGTTTAAATTTTGATGTAAGAGACACCTTTTAATCATGATGTGAGGTGACAAATTTCTTTAACAACATATTGATATACCAAGACAATATACTTTGACTTATAACTTAAAGACTCCCTGGGCATTATGTTTCAGAATAGCACACCATGATATCCGCTGGTCATTTTATCGTTGTAACAATGTATAACATTATAAATAAACATTCTGTAACAGCATGGTTTATTTTTACTGCGAGCCTTTTTTTCAATCATTAGATGCGGCAATATTACGATTATCCGCCGTGACACAATAACTGACCTCTAGGTCATGTTTAAAACCAAAAGTGCAGTACACACTTCAATAGAGTTACAAGCTGATATACAGAATGGAAGTGCCTCATTTTATTTTGATTTTACAAACTGTTTTACTAATATTTGGAATTTATGTTTTGTTCCATATTGTGTCATTTTTAATAAGTGTCAGGAAAATTAAGAAGCGTTTTCATGGAGCGAAAGGACCAGAAAATTCTCATTGGTTGCTTGGTAGTTTCGTCAATGTAAGTATAATATAATATATACGATATATACGTCTAAAAAGGATGAAAATTACGCATTTATAAACGTTGTTTTAAGTAGACTATTTTAGCATCTCATACGTTGTATATTAAACTACAAGAATCAGGCGAATTCAAAGAACCTTAATTTGTCTTCATTGAAAACAAACTTGGTATATTTTTAACAGTTTAAAAAAAATAAAATGGTTGACTGGTCTGTTTATCGCAAAGCCTAAGGTCATAGGGTTACAATCTAGGTTGTTGACATTTCAAGGTAGACGCGAATGAACTTCATATTGAACTTAATACGACAATGAACTTCACAGATATATATTTTTTAAAGTTTAATGTTTTACATATTTAACGAAAGTATTTAATCAAAATGCAGGGTACAGATGGCTGGCTATTTGTTACTTTCAGCACAAAAAGTAATGTAAATATGTCTTCCGTATGTCTAATAATGATAAATAGTTAAATGTGTACTACTTTAAGATGAAAGTGAGTCTGGTAAAATTTTGTGAACTTGGCATTAACGTGACCAATTTTAAACAACATTCGTCAACTTTTTTAGGTTATATTAACAAGACTGGCACAAACTTGTTTGATGGTATATAAAGTGTACTAAATAATAAACTTGTAATAATACATTAATATATAATCAATACATTATAAATCAACATATATTTTAAGAATTTATGCGGAAAGTACATGTCTAGAAAAGACTGTGACATAGAATGCCACTCATATACTAGTAAGCAAAGATAAGCACTTTTCACTGTTCAGCATTTAAGTTTAATACATTACTTTGCTAATTAGTTGATAACAATTGATTTTATAACAGACTCAAAGAGTTACCTAATATATACTTTTAACTTAATTTTACATCGGCGCATTTCGCATGCGTTTAACTGTACACAATCAATGTGAAGTATTCGACTGCAGTTAAAATTAACAAAACAAATTTTCTTAATGATATATTATACATTTTTGTATGTTATTTGCAACATACTTTTTCTGTTTAAATTTTGATGTAAGAGACACTTTTTAATCATGATGTGAGGTGACAAATTTCTTTAACAACATATTGATATACCAAGACAATATACTTTGACTTATAACTTAAGACTCCCTGGGCATTATGTTTCAGAATAGCACACCATGATATCCGCTGGTCATTTTATCGTTGTAACAATGTATAACATTATAAATAAACATTCTGTAACAGCATGGTTTATTTTTACTGCGAAACTTGTTTGATGGTATATAAAGTGTACTAAATAATAAACTCGTAAGAATACATTAATATCTAATCAATACATTATAAATTAACATATATTTTAAGAATTTATGCGGAAAGTACATGTCTAGAAAAGACTGTGACATAGAATGCCGCTCATATACTAGTAAGCAAAGATAAGCAAAATCCTTGCAGCGATTACTTCCCTTGACCAGTGAAAATTAATAATCCTTTTTCGCCAGGTTGCCTTGGTAACGAATATATAGTGGAAAAAGTAAAAATACATACCTTTATTTTATTTTCAGTTTCCAGCCGAGCCCCACGCACGTGCTATGTATTTGGTAGAGATGGCTAACAAGTATGGAAGTGAACAGGGCTACGTTCTGCTGTGGGGTATGCTAAAGCAGCCCATCGTTGTTCCATGTAGCCCGACGGTAATGGGTAGAATATGTAAAAGCAATGGTAAGTTTTTATAATCTCATAAAAACATAACGTTAGTAAGTCTGACAAAAGACCATGCATTGCAAAAAGAAATCGAAGACCCGCAACAATTTTGGCCAATGTCAGATTGGTGCATAACAACGCGCCATCGCAGCAGAAAAAAGTCGCTGTGCTCCCTCATATTCCGTACTCACATGACCTTGCTCCTTTTGACTTCTTTTTGTTAAATACCTTTCAGGAAGAAAATTTATTCAGCGCAAACACCTCGATTCTTCGATATTCCAGTGTTTTCATAGTATACATAGAAAAACTTGAAAATGCCTCCAAAGTTTGGAACCGCAGACTGAACTTCGAATAGCTGTTGGAGGTAAATAATTGGAGGGAACAAAAAAAACATTGAAACCTTTAAAGAATATTTGAATACTCTTCGTACCATTTGTATATTAACAGAACCAAAGTCAAAAGGCATCGGAGGTGCCTATCGGTTTCTAGAACCATGGCTGGGCGAGGGATTGCTTGTTGCCAATGGTGAAAAATGGGCGCGAAATAGACGTCTGCTAACTCCCGCCTTTCACTTTGAGATTCTCAAACCGTACACCAAAGTGTTCAACCAGGCAGCTGACATACTTGTGGTAAATATATTTCGAATTCTTAAAAAGAATATCACACTTCACTTCATAGTTCATTTGTAATTTGTAAGAATCATGGTGTAAACATAATTATTGATTACATGTACGTAATAAATTTTTGATACCCCATAGGCTGAACGTTTTTATTACAACAATTTATGCCCTAGTCGCGGAACGTCATCGTGTATACATTTTTATGCCGAATTAGCTTACCAAATTATGTATACTTCCATTTATTTTATGTTACTCTTCTATGAACTTTGTATTGACTTGTGGAAAAAACAGGCTCAATTCATAAAGTTTACAAACGATCTTTTGTATGATAAATCCCACGATTCCTTTCAATATCACTGTAAATGCACAGAACGTCAGACGCTTGCAGAAGTCCAGTTTCTGCCCATAAAATGTTCTGTTTCATTGATATATTGTTTAAATTATATGTATTTCTTCTTTTTTTCTTCAGAAAAAGCTGGATAGAAAAGCGAAAAGTGGGGAGAAATTTGAGGCTTTTCAGCACGTTTGTTTGTGTACATTAGAAGTCATATTGAAATGCGCATTTTCATACAGTAAAGATGTACAAAATGCCGGGTAGAAATTTTTAGCATTAGTCAATGCTCAATTCTGTAAACCATTTACTGAGGAATTTATGAATCGAACCAGCCCTGTTTTGACGATCGGAACATCCTCGGCCTTTTATCCGAAGACTGACGGAAAGGGCCGAAAAGTTGCGATTGCGGTTTTGAATGTTAAAGTTCTTGAACTAAACACCTAACGGTTGTGCAATCCCGCCTGTATTTTGGTGACAAAGAATTTGCAGTTTTGGTTTTAGCATTATGACGTATAAACAGCATCCACTTACAGCTGCATTGTGTAAATGTTTTATTTCTATAAATATGAATATGTTACAAAAGGAGTAGGACATGTGCCTAAAGCAGTAGCAGCAGAGATGGTCGAGCTTAGTGGTCCGAATTTATTGCCAATGATTTTATTCTAAAAATGGTTCCATTGCAGTTAACAGTTAACCAATTTACTCATCGCTTCTTCCTTCTTACAGCATGATTAAAAAGAAAATATGAGTTATTCAAGCAGAGTTTAATTTCTGTTAAGGTAATTTCAAATTGTTATTATCTTCAACATAATATACATTGTCATTTTAAATTTCAGGGAAACTAACCCATATGTGAAAGCGGTGAATAGGTTAACAGATGCTGTCACTTACAGATTCTTGTTAGTTTGTGTTTTAATGATTTTATGTACTCATTTTCTTTACTTTCTATTCTTTGGGAAATAAGTTATAACAATACTTTTGGACTGATACGTTTTGATAGTCTCCCTTTAATGTTTACTATCGGAAAATTTCGGTCAACTCCGTCACTCTCCGTGTAGAAACAGTGGGAATTTTTACGTAGTCGTAATAGTTAAACTAATTTTAATACATTGTATATTACAAAAGAGTTCAAAAGGCGGAAAATGTCGAAATGTGCCGAGTTTTGACGAAGTCGTGATGATAATATGAATACTGCTAATGTTTAGTACAATGAAGTATCTTATTTAATGAACAATGAACAAAAATGCATTTATTGCTAATAGAACTATAGTATTTTTTGCTGACTTCTGTTACAGAAATTATGAAATTGCGATAAAACAGTTATAATTTATGAAACTCGTTAGTTACGTGGGTATTGCAGTGACTTGGGCGACATCTCGGGATGTTTCTGCAAAAGAAAAAATCCACTTGGCGTGGCGGCCTCGATGCCGCCCCAGCGAGTGTTATATCATCGTAACTAACTCGTTTCATATACTATAACTATTACCTAACGTCATTTTAGGGCATCTGTTTTCGTTTTTCCCCAATTATTTCATAATTATACCTGCAGACGACACACCTTGAATTAGTACAGTCAATTATTGTCTTTTATATGTCAGACACCCGATCACATTTTTCGACTTCTTCTGGAACTTGTGTGCCGTCGGTCGACAGTTCCAAAAGGATTGTAGTTTTGTTCACTCTGTGGCTGAGGAGATCATAGACAAGAGAAAGGCTACCTTGGTATTTTTTATTTATGTACTTGCGTTTCGGAAATAGGTAACACTTTTGCGTGACCCTTTTCGGATTTAAAAGACGTTTCAAGAAACAGACTTAACAAGTATGGCATTCATTTCGGCAATTCAAATCATTATTTTTAGAAACTGATGCATTATCGTGCAAAAACTTCAATTTGAATTTCCTTTCGGCTTATATTTCCTTCATTAAATCATCGGGAACTTCGGATATATTTTACTTATTGATGACACAATCAGTTGTGGTACAGTAAAAGAACGTCATGAAAGTCAAAGTCAAAATGCATCAGTGGTATGACTGTTGACATCAAGTATAAGTGGCATGTTTTAAGTAACGGTCGGTTTGTTTATTTCTTGTATAAAATTGGCAAAGTATACATAACCTGTGGCAAATTTCGAAAAACGAGTATTTTTGTATAATTCTGTATATTGTACATTTTACAGGATCAGACCGGAAGTCCTAAAGGTAGTCGGTACATTGACTTTCTTGACATTCTCCTGACAGCACGTGACGAGGAGGGGCGGAGTCTCACTAGAAAGGAAATACGAAATGAAGTTGATACCTTCTTGTTCGAAGGTAAATTTTTAATTTCTTTTAAACAGAATACCTAAATTCATTTTATACCCACTATAAAAGCAGATAATTTAGTTTGTATGACTAAAACGTCCACTTTACTTTATCTAGATGCTATGGCGGCTGATCTGTGCCATGTCATATTTTGTGTCGATTTTCGCTCCGCGGGGCGCCAGGCGAAAGCACAGAAATACGACAATTTGGTCACTTTGTCGTACTTTCGTGATTTCGGCTGGCGCCCCGTGCAGCAAAAAAACAACATGGCACAAATCAGTCGCAATAAATAAGATCTTGTAATATATTAGTATATAATATACATTTTTTTAGTTTAGAAAAAATGATTCAGTACCTTTTTAAGTTGAAGATTGGAAACTGTATAAACTGGTGAAAAGCTGATGACCGAGGCGCAAGTAATACTCATAGAAGCGCACTGAATCAAACTGAGTCGTCAATTTTTCACCTTTTAATTTTTATTTTCACCGCTGGCGATGGACCTCTTCTTTCCAGCAATTCCCCAACTTCAGCTTTAATTGCGCTTGTGTGTCCTAGACGGGTCTCATCATTACTTTCAAATGATTTCATGTAGTATGTCCATGTATATGATGTTTGTAACATAATATGACCCAGTCTATTATAACTCCACTATGGAGTGGCACTATACTTCTTATTATGACTGTATATATATATTGATTGACTGATTGTAACTTGTATGTATGTATATTGATGAGACTTTAATAAATAAATAAATAAATAAATAAATAAATAAATAAATAAATAAATAAATAAATAAATAAATTAAGTGATATGTGCCTAGCACTTAATGTTGAATAGCATCAATAAGCATCAGTCACTTACTTCGTCTCACTTGTTTTATATTTTCTTTTTTACCATATGCCAATTGCTCAAGACTTAAAGACTATCTTTTACAGAATAAAATATTCTTAAATGATATCATGTTATTGATTTTATTTGATTGACTAGGTCACGATACAACAGCTAGTGCGTTATCCTGGATATTGTATTCTCTTGCGGAAAATCCCGAATGTCAGCGGAAATGTCAGACGGAGATTGACGAATTACTCGCCGAAAGGGAATCGGATGATTTGGAATGGTAAAGTTTGACCATTTTACTTCACGACAGCTCATTTACATTATGTACTGTTATTAAAGTTGATTTTGCAATTTTGATCCTAAATTTTGCAACTTTTTCCATTATTAGTGTTGAAAATTTTAAATAATAAACTATTTTATTGCAAAGTGTGATTATTTTTAAGATATTTGATTGTTTATGATTTGGTTATCTTCAAAAAAATAGGCATGCTTAATTTGTGTTCTAGAGCCACTTATATCTTTTCATTTGTAACCTTTATTTTAATAGGTCAGATCTGAGCAAGTTGGAGTACGTTACCATGTGTATTAAAGAAGGCATGCGCCTTAACGCGCCAGTTCCCGGTGTCAGCCGCGAGACGTCTGAAGAGTTTGATCTTGGCGACAGAATTGCGCCAAAAGGGACAATTGTTCTCATTAACGTATGGATATTGAACCATATGGAGAACGTATGGGGACCTGACCATATGAAATTTAATCCCGAACGATTCTCAAAGGAAAATATAGACAAGATTGAACATTTTCAATACGTGCCGTTCTCGGCGGGACCAAGGTTAGTTTGTATTCAAAGGCAACATACATTTGTAACCCCGGTCCCTATCTCCGACGGTCCCTGTCTCCGGCGTAGTGCGTGAGAAAATAAGGAAATCTATTTTTTTTAAAAATGATAACATACATTAAATGAAATAAACAATTTAAAAAACTGAGCTACCAACAGTATAGAGCGATGGCCTGGCTACATTGGCTACATTATCACGTTTTGTATTAGCAGGTTCAGGATTGAGTACTAAAATCTTACAAATTATTCAGCATGATGTTAAACTGACTGAGGTATAGACGTAGATGTTCACAATGAAAGTAAATAGATATAAATTATTTTCCAACAGTATTCGAAAGTTCATGGAAGTCGATCACATAGCTGAAATAAGCACACTTCTTAGTAAAATGTTTATAAAGGTACATGTTATTTGTACATTTAGCTAGTAAAAATTTTTGATAATGTTTGTAATCAATAAATCTTTAAATTACAGGAATTGTATAGGACAGAACTTTGCAATGAATGAAGAAAAGGTCATATTGTCAAAGCTGTTGAGAAAGTAAGTATTTTCAAAATTTTACAAAAATGCAGATATATATGTAAAAGCGTAGCGTAATATAAAGTGGCCTTCAGCTTTTGTAAGAGTGAAATTTGTTATTTTTAGATAAATCGTTTCATATAATTTTGTCGACGATAAAATGCATAAACAATACGGAAACCACTAACAAGTGTTTGGCATTGCTTGAAATTATTAAGTTGTCAAAAACTTATTCTGGCAAGATGACTATTGCAATTTGTATCTTTTTTAAAGTTTCACATTCCGGCTTGATCCGAACTTTGAGGTGAAGAGGAATATATCCGGTGTTATGAGGGCAAAAAATGGAATTTACATGTATGCTGAAAAACGACAACACTGAAAGAATGGAAATGATGAATGGCTGATCAAGGAAAGAGATAGACGGATCCAATACCGAACATCAGAATCTCTAGATCTTATAGACTCTTAATGTTGTTTTACGGTAATGCTTTCCCGCCAAAAAATTCTAACATCGGCCAATAACGTAGCAATTCGGTTATTTCCGGAACGTTTTTTTTTCAAACTCTTTGACATTAGATTATTTACAATCACTCATCCTTTAACTTGAATACCGAAAATTGTGAAAAATAACGTTCCGGAAATGACAGATTTATTACGCTATTGGCCGATGTTAGAATTTTTTAGCGGGAAAGCATAAAGCATAACGTAAGGCTACCTTAATGAGTTTAAGTAGAAAAGTTCGCAAGCATAAATTAAAATAATTGCACTGTCTAGATCTTCCATGTTGCAAAACGAGGGTTACCTCAAGAGTTCACCATTATTCCAGAAATCAATAAACAAGACAAAAAAATCTTAATGAATGTTGTGTGTTAAATATGTGTACATGTGAGAAAGCTATTTATTATGGAAGCGTCCTAGTGCCAAACCTGAAATGTTTTTATGTCATAATTAGTAGATAGTAAGTGCTAATTAGTAGAAAGTAAGTGCTAATTAGTAGAATAGTAAGTGCTAATTAAGATAGTAAGTGCTAATTAGTAGATGCTAAGTCATAATTAGTAGACAGTTAAATACTAATTAGGAGATAGTAAGTGCTAATTAGTATATACTAAAGTCATAATTAGTATATAGTAAGTACTAATTAGTAGATACTAAAGTCATAATTAGTAGATAGTTAAGTGCTAATTATTAGATAGTAAGTGCTAATTAGTAGATACTAAAGTCATAATTAGTAGATAGTAAGTACTAATTAATAGATACTATGTCATAATTAGTATATAGTAAGTACTAATTAATAGAATAACTATGTCATAATTAGTATATAGTAATACTAATTAGTAGATAATAAGTCATAATTAGTAGATAGTAAGTTACTAATTAGAAACATAATAAGTCATAATTAGTAGATAGTAAGTACTAATTAATAGATACTATGTCATAATTAGTATATAGTAAGTACTAATTAGTAGATAATAAGTCATAATTAGTAGATAGTAAGTACTAATTAGAACATAATAAGTCATAATTAGTAGATAGTAAGTACTAATTAGTACATACTAAGTTATAATATTGTAATCGCTGCTTGCATTCTGTTAACATGGCTAATGCCGAGGAATATAGTCAATCTATGGAAGCGTCGTAGTGCCAAACCTGAAATATTTTTATCTCTTAATTAGTAGATACTAAGTCATAATTAGTAGATAGTAAGTACTAATTATTAGATAGTAAGTGCTAATTAGTAGATAGTAAGTTATAATTAGTCGATACTAAGTCATAATTAGTAGACAGTAAATACTAATTAGGAGATAGTAAGTGCTAATTAGTATATACTAAGTCATAATTAGTATATAGTAAGTACTAATTAGTAGATACTAAGTCATAATTAGTAGATAGTAAGTGCTAATTATTAGATAGTAAGTGCTATTAGTAGATAATAAGTCTATTAGTAGATAGTGTAAGTACTAATTAGAACATAATAAGTCATAATTAGTAGATAGTAAGTACTAATTAATAGATACTATGTCATAATTAGAATATAGTAAGTACTAATTAGTTAGATACTATGTCATTAATTAGTATATAGTAAATACTAATTAGTAGATAATAAGTCATAATTAGTAGATAGTAAGTACTAAATAGAACATAATAAGTCATAATTAGTAGAATAGTAAAGTACTAATTAATAGATACTATGTCATAATTAGTATATAGTAAGTACTAATTAGTAGATAATAAGTCATAATTAGTAGATAGTAAGTACTAATTAGAACATAATAAGTCATAATTAGTAGATAGTAAGTACTAATTAGTACATACTAAGTTATAATATTGTAATCGCTGCTTGCATTCTGTTAACATGGCTGATTGCCGAGGAATATAGTCAATTTATAGTCAATAGACTTAGCATTTACTTATTAGTTAAACTATCTAAATAATTATTACTAAATATGTACTAATTAGTACTTACTATCTACTAATTATGACTTATTATCTACTAATTAGTACTTACTATATATACTAATTATGACATAGTATCTATTAATTAGTACGTACTATCTACTAATTAGCACTTACTATCTACTAATTAGTACTTACTATTTACTAAATTATCACTTACTATCTAATAATTATACTTACTATATACTAATTATGACATAGTATCTATTAATTAGTTACTTACTATCTACTAATTATGACTTATTATCTACACTAATTAGTACTTACTTTATACTAATTATGACATAGTATCTAATTAATTAGTACTTACTATCTAACTAATTAGCACTTACTATCTACTAATTAGTACTACTATTTACTAATTATCACTTACTATCTAATAATTAGTACTTACTATATACTAATTATGAACATATAGTATCTATTAATTAGCTACTCACTATCTACTAATTATGACTTATTATCTACTAATTAGTACTTACTATATACTTAATTATGACATAGTATCTATTAATTAGATTACTATCTACTAATTATGACTTAAGTATCTACTAATTAGCACTTACTATCTAATAATTAGCACTTTACTATCTACTAATTATGACTTAGTATCTACTAAATTAGTACTTTACTATATACTAATTATGACTTAGTATATACTAATTAGCACTTACTATCTCCTAATTAGTATTTACTGTCTACTAATTATGACTTAGCATCTACTAATTAGCACTTACTATCTACTAATTAGCACTTACTTTCTACTAATTAGCACTTACTTTCTACTAATTAGCACTTACTATCTACTAATTATGACATAAAAACATTTCAGGTTTGGCACTAGGACGCTTCCATATCAATCTGACAACAGTTTTGAAGCATTTCTGATTTCACGGGAAATTATGACTTATTATCTACTAATTAGTACTTACTATATACTAATTATGACATAGTATCTATTAATTAGTACTTACTATCTACTAATTATGACTTAGTATCTACTAATTAGCACTACTAATTAGCTATCTAATAATTAGCACTTACTATCTACTAATTATGACTTAGTATCTACTAATTAGTACTTACTATATACTAATTATGACTTAGTATATGACTTAGTATATACTAATAAGCACTTACTATCTCCTAATTAGTATTTACTGTCTACTAATTATGACTTAGCATCTACTAATTAGCACTTACTATCTACTAATTAGCACTTACTTTCTACTAATTAGCACTTACTTTCTACTAATTAGCACTTACTATCTACTAATTATGACATAAAAACATTTCAGGTTTGGCACTAGGACGCTTCCATAATTTATAGATAATAACATAATTATCTGTAGTAATTGAAACTAATGTGATAAATGGAATTTAAAGCTAAAGATAAATATATATGTGTTATAAGTTAAATTTGTATACTAAGTATTAATACACGTGCGTTGAAATTAGAATATTGATACACTGTCTTAGATCTAAGTATTAATACACGTGCGTTAAAGTTAAATATTGACGCACTTGTCTTAAAGCCACATATTAATACACACGTGTATGAGTACGTTAAAATTAGATATTGATACACGTGTCATAAAGCTAAGTATTTAATACACCTGTGTTCAAATTCAATTTTTATACACGTGTCTTTAAAGTTAAATTTTGAAACTTTTGTAAATAAAGCTAAATATATGTATGTGTAACATAATGTCAATATGTTTGTATAGAATAATTTATAATACTGCACGTTTGCAATGGATAATCGTGACGTTTATATACTTAATACACACGAATGCTGTCAATTTATGAAGAAATCTCACTTTTTTCTAAAAAAGGCAGTTTGCTGTAGTATGAATGTGTTATATATATTTCTGACAGGTTATATGACCGTATATATAAACAGTTGTTTGCAATATAACCCGAACCGCATATGTAAACAATCGTTTTTATAATGCCATATATAATCTGTCAAACATCTTTATAACTTATTACGAGTAAATACTGGCTCATTTCTTAAATAAATAAAGTATATGTTCTTGTCTGTTAAATGTATTTGTGAACATCTTAATTCTTAAATAAAGTAAAAGTATAATAACTAGTATGACTCATTTCACATGACTCTGTTGTTTTTTTATTTTATACATTTTTTTTCCCAAAATGTTTACAAGTCATGCAACATGACGTGAAAATTAGATAAGGTAATTTAGCATATATAAGAAGCACTTTCCTTAAATTAACTTTCGCAAGACAGCTTCGTTTTATTTACTTATTCAATTATGCCCCAGCACATCATTTTAGTTCATGGTCAAAAAGTAATTGTATCGAGATATCAGATTGTTTGCATCGTGGTTGAATAAGAAAAATGACTTCGGTAAATAATAACTCCAGGTTATATGGCCGTATATAAACAGTCGTTTGCGATATAAACCGAGCCGCTATTTCCAAACCACCGTTTATCTAGAGCCATATTAAAATCAAAGCACAGAAGGCGCTGAATTTGTTTGGGTCTCAGAATGTAAGAAAGGTGCAGGTTGTGAGATTATATGTTTAGTGCCACCAATGCTTTCCAGCGTTTTAATTGTAGTAAATTGGCTATAAGACTAATTGCAACACTGATATTCAATCCAATGTTTATTTGACTTTAACAATTTAAAAAAAAAAGTTACCTTACTGGGATTTGAACTCCAGACCTCTTCGCTTCCTAAGCGAGCCCGAAAACCCTTCAGCCACGGTTAAATTTATATGTGAAACGGCCTGAAGAAAACCATATTATTCTAAATTAGGGCTTGTAACGACTTTTAACTGTTGTTTAACACAGATGTAAATAATCCTGAAGCTTACTATAAGCATGTATATTTATAAAGAATCAAAGGGCTTCATGTTCTTTGGTATTTTCTGATCTTTGCAATCTAAATCGTACTGTATATCTGTATGCATTTTCCTGTATAAGTTTATTTTTATGTATTATAATTCATTTTGTAAGGCACATACGGAATTCTGCATAACTAGAGTTGCATCAAAAAATCATTTATGTACTTTTTTTACGACAGCCACACTTTATCCTTGTAAATCATGGCTACTTCCTTAACAAAAAACAATTAAAAAAAGAATTTAACCAAAAAAAAAATTTCCTCGACTGGGATTCGAACTCGAGACCTCTCACTCACTAAGCGAGCGCGTTACCACTGTACCACGGAGAAGTTATACACAGTATGTCTGAATAATATCAAGTCATTCTAAATTTAGAACTTCCATTGCATTCAGGTTTGTAATCCTTATTAATTTCGAGGTATTTTGTTCAGGGTAAACCTGTTGTTTAAAATTGAAGTAAATATTTTAGCGAAAATCCTCTCGCCCAAACAGTCCGACATGTAGAATCTATATATTCCACTACTCGGTTTGTGTAGTATTCGGTAAATCTACATGGCTAAAAATAGTATTTTCATTGATAAAATCATATTCATCCGCGTAATTTGTGATTGTGCATTTATTGACAATTCTATAAGCCAACGCTATTGTTTAACTTTAAATGCGTTGTAATTTGTTGGATACTTGTAACAAAATAAAATATTTCTTTCTTTTAAATCGCTAGTTTTAAGCTGTTTTGAGAACTACTTGTTGTTAGGTTTGTCATAAACTTCTGTGTCAGAGATTGAATGTCCGCTTTGTATTTAGTTATTTTCGATCAGAAAATACCAGAAAACAATATTAGAAATCTTCGACCATTCGGGAATTACTTTGCTTGAAAATTGATGCGCCTGTCTTTGACCATCTTTACACAGTGATCTCCCCTGAATTTTTCGGCTTTAGTGTACATACAAAAGGGAAGTAACCGCTTCAAAAAAGTGGACTACTTTCGGCATTTGCAATTAAGAACATTAGACTCTGAAATTTCGCTACCATTATTTGTTTGGTCTGACGACCCAAACAAATAAAAATCTTTATAACTAATAAGATACCAGACTTCCTAGGTTGAGAAAAATGGAATTAGCTGCCGGCTCAACCCCTGCCATGACCTATGAGGTCATTTATAAAATTAGCCAAAGGAAGTTCATTTGTTTTACACAAGTGCTTGCAACACCGTTCAGAGGTTCGCCCGTCATCCCCCTAAGAGTAAAGCTGGAAAGACACCAAACGACCTTCACAGTGTCGATGTGACTTCACCCCCCCCCCTACCTAAACAAAAACACACAAAAAAACCCCACAAACAACAGAATTGTCAAAATTGCTGATTTATTAATATATGTCCTTTTTGTTAGGTACATTTGAATTTGAGTATTAAGCCTTAACCACGTTCAATATCTTAAATGGATTAGGCCAGCTTTCAATGTGGACTTAACCATTTATCACTTATAGGGACATTTTCAAAATATGTACTTACTGAATAGCGAGCTGCGCTAGCCTGCACAGAAGGTTTTGCCGCCATCCTGATAAGGGTAAAACCTTTGTAATATATTCGAACCATTTTGACTTGTCTAGAAATTTTTAATTACAAACATTTATATTAAAACGTTAAACAATGACTTCTTGAAATAAAAATTTACAAAATTGAATCCTAAATTGATTGATTGGTTTTACACATGTATATCCTCGGATTAAAGGATCAAACATATCATGGACGGGATATCCACTTATTGATCTGTTAATCCCAGGTGAAATTTATCTGTTTAATATTACACATGAACAAATTAACTGATTAAATCAGAGGCCCGGCCAATATTGGGAATTCCATTATAAACTTTTTGATGTTTCCACGATGACGAGTATTCTTCTTTTCACGTGTTTGTGTCGTAATGAAACGTTTCTCAAATATTGTCCTTGTGACTACTACAACAAAACTACTTAAGTGACATCATATACACTTAATATATGTTGTCTCATGTATTCTATTTCTTTTATCTTAGATTAAAACGAAATACGCAATTTCTTATAAACACAATCTTAGATTCAATGGAATAAAATACACCTGACAACAATACCCCACTCCCGAAAAAACAAAACAAAAAAAAAACACCAACAAAAACACACAGTGTGCATAATATCACTTGAGGGATTCCGTACTATCCCGCAAACATTCGGAATATTGCTGTTTTTGCCTGGGTGTCAACCTTTGTCTGAAATAATCTTAGATCTTCTTTCATTAGTAAGTAAGCTAAAAAAAGAAAAGAAATAATAACAAAGAAACAAGGCAGTCTTCCTCCACCAGTAACCGTATGACATATACATGTACTGTGTTGCTGAGACGTAAAACGAAATAAAAAAATAGAAGGAAAAAAAAGAATCAATTAGCCTCCGAAACCGCGGACTTCTTTTGATTGTAAAATCTACCCGCAAACTTGTAGAAGTTCTGTGGTTCTATTCGGTTGTATAAGCGCGTGTCTCGGACACGCAATTGATCAAGGTCTTCCTCCGCCCTCGGACATACCGGTAAGATGTATACACCCAGCTCCACCAATAAAACCAGGAAGTCGTCAAGATAAATATTGTGACTCCAAATATGAAATGGCAGCTTTACGGGAAATTGCATGAACAAGATAATGACCCCCTTATTGGTATTTGTGTATTTATAAAATTTGCTGTATTTAACTATCAAAACAACTTATGTTGATTTAACATTATCGTGATTTCATTTCAAGCGATAATATTATTGAACACCGCCTTTATAATTACAAGATATGTTTGATTTTAATATAATAAAGATTGAGATCTAATTGAAACTATTTTTCTTATTAATGTAGTCATTCTAAATTGAATCGGTGAATAAATCAGTTTAAATATCAACAATATTTATATTGTCTCGTAATTCTAAATTGTGTATAGCCATTCCTATGCTGCGAACTCCACACTTTCATTTGCCCTGGGAAGAATTAAGTTAATAGTTTATTTGACTATCCATAAATGGTCAGACCAGAAAGTCAGGTAAAAATTTGAGAAAGCAAAACTATCATGTTATCACAAAGCGTTGATTGCTTTCAATGTAATTTGTAAATCAATTACGCATTTTCATCACATACCCGTGCATTTTTCCCGACTCTGTTACAGTCGTTATGCCCACCAATGAAAAATATATTTTACTGTAAACTGTTCTTCTTTTAGGTATGTGATAAGTAGGATATAATTATTTTTACGTAAAGCTTCATTACTACATTTATCAAACTCGTCGAATATAATAATATGTTAACAAGAGACTCGTTCGTTTAATACAACTTTATTTCACAACTTTACTACATTAATTATTAAACCTACACTCATTCAATACCAGTCATTTATATTTTACACACGATATTAGTCATTCATTTATTACATTTTATTTATCTCTTATTTATTATACAATAAATTATGTATATCTTTTTTTTTTATTTGTTTATTTTCTTAATGGCGGAGGTGCCGTTTTTCGTCGTTTATACTTATCATGTAATTAATTATTTTCTAATTTTATATACAATTATATAAAACTCGTTTCGGCACATTTTCCTACTTTCCTAAACTATTTTTAATAACAAATAAAATATCAACTAAGATCCTGTATTTAGTTACAGTTTAATGCTAAAAAACGGTATTTTTAATCTCAGTAAATATGATATTATTTGTTAAGTAAACTTTTTATTAAACTCATTTTGTTGTAGTACAAAGTAATTTGAACATTTTAACCTTGTGAAAATAGTACTTTACTACGCAAGATTATATCATTTATAGATTGTAAAAAATATATAATTTTAGCCGTGTCATGACAAAGCCAAAATAATGGGTTTGCGACCAGCATGGATCCAGACCAGCCTGCGCATCCGCGCAATCTGATCAGGATTCATGCTGTTCGCTAACAAACCATATAAGTAGAGAAACTGATAGCGAACAGCATGGATCCTGATCAGACTGCGCGGATGGATCCATGCTGGTCGCAAACCCATTATGTTGGTTTTGTCGTGACACGGCTCATATATAATTTGACGGTACAACAAAATAAATGAGTGTACATATATCATTTATCATTTGTAATAAATTTATTTACTTTAGAATATATTACACATTTCATACTAACTCATTTATACATCTTTCCATGATTTAAAATTATGGATAAAGAAAATATAACGATATTTTCCTTCAAATAAAAAAGATTTTTAATACAAATTAATATAAATTTTGAAGTTATTTGAGCAAATAAAACGTTATTCCATTTATTTGATTTATAGTCCGTGCGGGATAAAATATTTAAGCACTTACGAAATTTAAAGACATCGTTCGGACATTTTATTTGCCTTTTATAAAATTGGGCCTCGAGTTAAATCCTGTAACCTTTTGTTACTGCGACCACATTAAGATTAATGTTAAAACTCTCCGTATATAACTTATTCAATCGATACATTGAAAGTGAATTACAGTGCACTTACTTTTAACAATTGTATATTTTTAGAAAAGCAATAAAATTTACTTTAAACGTATGACTATCTACAATGGTTATCTACCAATAAGTATAATCTTTTGAATTCATAACTTTCAAATAAAAATGTCAAAAGAAGAGCTTAACAACGGGACATTCAATAGTGAAGCGGAAATCACTCCAGCCGGTAGCGATCAAAACACGCAACAAAATACGGAGTCAAAATTAATACAAGAGAACGAAGAAATCGATCAGTCTCAAATTAAAACTGATCATAAAATAAACGAAGAGTCATTGGCTGAAATTCAGAATTCTAATTTAATATCTGGGGATTTAACGAGTGTAAACAAACCCGATGATAGCGGATCAGTTAATGAAAACCCGGCTTTAGATATTGAAGAGTCGGCTAATTCAAATAATACGAATGAAACTAACTGTGAGACGGAAGTAAAAGACTCGACGGAAAAAGCCTTACCGACAGTAAAATCTGATGCTCAAAGTGATTCAAACAGTGGACAAATTTCTCGTTCTCAGTCACAAGACGATCAAACAAACCCAGAAATCGAAAAACTTGACGAAAACATAACAGATTCTAGTGGGATTGCATCGGAAGGAATTGTTGACGGCACAGATGATGATGCAACCGACGTGAATAAACATGAAATAAAACGGACAAGCTTCTGTGTAGATAGTGGTGCTTATTTATCAAAATCTGAAAAACAAGAAGACATCGATAAAAATTCAGAAGAAAGTCCCAATACAAACATACCTTTAAATAATGTCACTGGTGCACATGAAGCCCAGAATGCTTTGGAAACTGAATCTGACGTAAACCAAACTGTTACTGAAACAAAGTCTGATTCGAAAAGCAATGACGATATTGTGAAAGAGGAAGAAAAGGATACAAATAAATTATCAGAAGAACATGCTGATATAGTTGATAGAGTTGACGAGGCTGAAACAAATAATGCACCTTATGTAGAAACAAACGAAAAAGCAGAAATCGACACAGAAAATAAAGTGACAGAAGAAACTCAAGACAATAATCAAACTGACAAATCTGAAGCTGAAAATTATGAGGATGATTTTGAGGAAACCATAGAAGAACCAAGCACGGAAGGGAAAGACTTAATAAATACTGAGACAGTTAAACAAGAAAAGGAGAATAAACCTAAAGATACTGAAAGTGTTGAGGAAATAAGTGATTTCAAAAACGAAACAGAAAAGACAGAAACCAGTGAAGTTACTAGCAAAAAAGAGGACAATACACCTGCTGAAAGTGAACAGGTAAGCAAAAATACAGTTATATCAGATAATGTGACAGAAGAAAATACTGTTTGTGAATCAAATACTAGTGGAATTAAATCAGAAGAAGGATCTGAAGTAAAATCAAGCGTCAATGAAACTGAATCGCATAAGGAAATTGATTATAACACAAACAGTGATAACGATAAGTCAGACGAGAAATTCGTGACTGCTGTAAACGAAAACAACGAAGAAAAAGAATTGACTGAGGTTGTGATAGACGAAGACGGTATTCCAAAAGTAGCGATAACAACTGTTCCAGATAGACCACCATCATCTCTAAATGATGATACAGTAGACCAATCTGACCCATTTGAAGATTTCGGCTTTGACACAGACGCTAACGATAAAAACAAGTCTGACTCGAAAGAAAAGGAAGTCACAAACCAGGAAACATCAAAAGAGGAGCAACTTTCAAAAGAGAATAAAATGTCTGAAAAAGTTGATATGGAAAATGATCAGAAGAATGAGTCAAATGTTCAAAAGGAAGACGGTAATGAAAGTGATGGTACAAAAGTAGAAGCTAATACAGAATTAAATAAAACTGAAACACAGGCTGATTCAAAAGATGAAAATACAAGAAATGAGACCGATCCAAAATGCAATGAAAGTGAGAATATCAAAGACAAAGATATTGAAAAAGAAAATACAGAAACTTCGAAAACCGAGGAGAAACCTAAATCACAAGAGCATGTTCCAACGCCTCAACAAGAAAGTCCTTTAGAGCAAATGCTTAAACGAAATGTGCAAATTGATGGAACTGTGGAGTCTTTGCCCAAGTTAGAAGAAACTGTTACGACATTGCTTAACAGTATGAAGGATGTAATGAAATATTATTCTGACTTGTTGAAATTGCAGGCGTTGAAAGACTTTACGAATGATTTAGGAAAGTTTAGAGGCGATTTTATATCAATTACCGATGCATTTAAAATCTGCAATTCTATGTCTACTAATTTAAACCAGCATCTGAAAGAGTTACGCCTTGTAACAGATGAAGTGAGGTCTCAAATTAATCGGAAGTTTCAACAAGAAGATCTCAAGACCTGGGTGGATGTACCAATTGAGAAAGAGAAAGGTATGATTCGTTACATTTTTAACAAAGATATACACAGTTATAAAGGTTGCATTTGCTTGAAATTAAGTTTGTTTATTCTTTTAATTTTTTTTGCTTAAGTAATCAAATAGATTGATATTTGTTAGTCAATTTTTCTAGGGACAATGTCGCTATTTGACAGGAAACATTGTCTTGTGGTCCTAAATACGTGTCACTTGGGGAAACTTGTTATGAAACCAAGCGTAGTTAAACGTCCATTTTCTTTAATTATCCTACCATTTACATACTTTAAATATAACTATATCTTAAATTATCTGCCTAATTACATATCCAATTATCTAATGAGTAAAAAAGAATTTAGAGAATCTTAAGTCAACATTGATAACTTTGAACGCCAATAGATTTGTCGTGTTATTTAGAATAACATAAACTAATTGATACAAAGTCTTTTCATACTTTTCTTTTTAATTTTATACCAATACCTAATGATTTATGCGAAAGCCACGACATAATGATATTGACGCGTATTTTATTGGCCTAATTCAACATTATAATCATCATTTAAATTATACCGGTTGGGATTTTTGTTTGTGTTAATTCATATTTACAGAGGAAATATGTATTAAAGATTTAATTTTGCCTTTAGAAACGCTAAACTAATGAACATTTTAAAATAACTTAAACCTTGAAAAAATATATATCTCAATGAAGTTGTAATTTCTTACATACTTATATTTAACAATTGTATCCGTGTTTTTAAAATTGGAGACACTTAGCGCGTATGCTTTATTCATGTCAAGGTACAGTATTTGCCAGCCATGTAAAAACTAGTTCCGATTCATTCAGAGCCTCTTATATACTATATGTAGTTTCTTCAAAAATATTATCTAAGGAAAGTTAATACGTCTAGTTATTCTTAAAATGCCATCATTTCATAACGTAATTATTTGTCGATCTCTAGAAAAAATATTGAATTCTTAACTGTATCTTCGATACGAAGGGGGTATTTAAATAAATGTACTTTCTTTTTATATTTTGAAAAAGAGTTTTATTTTTTATACAGAAAAAGAAAAATTAGAAGAAGAGATATATGCAGCGGAGAAAGCAGCAATGGCAAATGCGGCAGAAGCCCGCCAGATTGTTTCAAAAGCAACTGTCGGTGTTTCCGAGGCTCATAAACTTATAGCAGAAATGGAGGTGCAAACGACTGATGCTCAAGCAATTGCGCAAAAAGCGGAAATACAAGCGCGTGTCGCGTTAATTGCAGCAGAAGAAGCTAGAGTAGCTGCAGAAGAAAGAAGACGCGCTGAGGAAGCGGCAAAAGCACGTGCAGAAGAACGTGCAAGAATTAAGGCAGCGGAAGATGAGAAAAAGAAGGCAATGGAAGAAATGAAAATTCACCAGGAGGCTGCTGCCAAAGGCACTTCGATAGAAGATGAGCGTAAGAGGTTTACGGAAGAAAAGGCAAGGAAAGAACAAGAAAGGAAAAACCCTAAAAACTGGCCAAGATTTACGTAAGTAGATAGTTAAGAACTTGGAAATCATCAAAATAATCATCTTATAAAACAATTTATAACTAATGTTGACTTAACATTTAAGTTATATGAATAATTTCTATATTATTTATAGATGCATGCGCAAAGTGTAATATAGTTAACGTTATTGCTCGTATCCATTTCAGATTCGAAACTAAAGGAGTTGATTTTAAACCTGCTGTTGGCTGTGTAATCCGGGCAATTGAAGGGAGCATGCGTAAAACGGATGTCACGTGTTCATATGTTGACCAATCAGAAGGTATATTAACGCTTGGATCTACCGAAGAACTTGTCAGCAATATTATCAGAGTTACTCAAACGGAAGAGGACAGATATTTAAATGTAAGTAGTTCTATCAAAAATGCTGACTAGAATAAATATTGAATGCACAGTCAAACTTGGATTGAAATAAAGAATGTTGTCTGTGGTTATATATTGTTGATATAAGGCTTGCAGTGTACCTATAATTATATAATTAGTACCCTTTAAAATTTGTAGGTTCTTTTTTAAAACTTGTTTTTTTACAAACGTCGTAGATTTAGCTAGAAAATCGTACTTTGACGACACGAAAATTGTCGAATCGTTTGCAACTGGAAACATGTAGTTTAGCCTTGTCTATAAACTTGTGATGTTTTTGAATCGAGAAATGGTTACGATTCAAAATAACAAATGCAAAACAAAAACATTCAAGCCCAATACATTTAATTTGGTGTTGTTGCTGTTTTAATATAAATTATTTCAATTACTAAAACCTGTTTAACATCCCACATATTTTCAGTTCGAGGAACCATTGTCCGATGCTCTTCCTGTTTGTATCGGCAGAGTTCCGACGGGGAAAGAAACTGTGGTGACAAAGGATGTCTAATGGTGCATGGCGGGAACTTCCGTCAGCAGACGTACAGTTTGAAGATTTCCGGGTACTGAATTCTTTCTCTTTGTGAACATTTCTTTTCATCTGCAACACTAGATATGCCACATTATAACATATATTAATATGTAATTAAATGTTGTACATTGAGCTGATGATATTGTACTGATTGTGTGTTGTATTGGTCTTTACTCATTATTTTTAATATACACAATACAGACTTCGGAATATCATTAAATTAGGAAAGAAACATACCGAATCTGCTGCTGTTGATTTAATCTGAAGGGAGACCATCTTTTTCACAGTCATTCAAAGCTCAATTTTACATTTTTTTCTTTTTGCTATAGGAGTTGAAATTTGTAGAAGGCCGGTGTGTTAAATTTGGAGCTTTCGTGGTTGTATTACGACCGAAGAAGGATATGTTACAATTTCTGAAGAAAGGTTGCAAGCTTCTGTGTAGCTCTGATTTTAGAATTTCGTTATCCTGTAAACCTGGTACATTTAAACAGAACATGAACGCAGTTTTAGAGGTAAGATTTAAAACAAATATCACACAATAAAAAATAAATAAAGAAAAAACATCATATACTAGTAGTTAGGCCCCCGTCGCAGCAAGGTATACACTCCTGATACTTCACAAGGAAGTGAACGATAGTGAAACATTCGACCGGTGCGGAGGAGAGTTACTAGTATATTAAAGTTTAAAATGCCACTGTTTGGTTTTATTTATTCATGCTGGACTTTTGAATGTGCTTTATTTCCGTGCAAAATGGATTCTAATTCTACATGCGCAGTAAAATCATCATGGAAAAATATGTATGTACCGGTGCCCTCACGTTCTATACAGGGAGAGAATTAGAAGGACGGATGCATTGTCGCAACGAACACTTATTTTCCTTTGTGATGATATATGGAAATTACCGGCAATGTTAGGAAGTATTGTTTAGACAAAAAAGTTTAAATAAAAGATCAAAAGTACACACTCTTGTTGTTTATTATTATAATTGTTATTCAATTTCTCTATGTTTTAGGTACAGACCTATGATTCAAGTGTTATACACGATCTGAAGACAAGATTTCCTAAGGAATGTGAGGACTTCTTGACAGCCAGTCCTTTTGTAAAGTTCTCTATACCCGTCAAAAATTTTGAGAAGCCTTTGACGGTGACCCTGCCTCTACCTCAGACTCAAACTCGTCAGAAAAGGCCAGCAACCGGTATAACGCGAGAAACCAAACCGACACAGGACATCAGGCCGTCCACTGCGCGACCGACAACAACAAACGAAGGTTCGGTGTTGAATTTATTTGCTGTATTAAATGAAATATGCATATTCTTGATATCTCTGCATCACCTTTTTATCAATTTGTACTCGTTTTTCTTTTGTTTGGTATTAATTGTATAAAAACCAATAATTTGTAAACCATGTAGTTTTTTATCAAAGGCAAATAAAAGAACTTCAAGAATGAAAGTCAAAATTACACTTTGTTAACATTATTCTACCATTATCACAATTTATTTCACATTAACCTTATTTATTTAGGCGATAATGTTCTAAATAAATTATTACAACACATTTGTCTTTTCTGCATAATGAAAATATTTGTTCATAATATGGCTTTAAGAAATTTCCCAAATTTTACATATTTCAGAGGATGCACAAGAACAAATATTTTTTCTTCATCGAGATGAAAAATTGGGATGGACTGTGAACTCAAAGATAAATCTAGTTCAGCCAAAATTAAAGGACACAGTTGTATTTGATATACCAACATCATATGAAAGGTTAAACATAGTCTTTAAAGTCTTTCCTACCCGACGTTAATAAATGTTTTAAAACAGAAAGTTTGTGGCTTATTTTTTACAATTATTACCATGTCATTGTAGTTAACTAATTACATGTTGTTTTTTTAAGCTGTGTTTACTGAAATAGTTTTGACGTTATTAATATAAGCTCAATCAGATTTTAATAACATGTACTTTGGTGAACGAGGATATCATTCGGTGCACTTTGGTTGATCACGGGTCTTGATTTTAACTCCATATGTGTGCCTCCACCTTGGTGTATGTGGTTTCTGTTCCATGCATTTACAACATTACTGCCTGTTTGGTAAAAATAAAAAAACTACTTTACCTGAATATTTCCAATAGAATCTTACAATGCTTGGAGTGTACTTCTCTTGTCCTTAAGACAGTCATATTTTAAAGAAACATGTAGTTGAACTTTGTTTATGACAAATACAATATCCTTGTCACTTTTGTTGTTTCATATAAGATTATCTATGAAAGACGGGGATTAGGCAAAGTCTTATTGTTCCGAATGACCAATATACTGCGTTTCAATGGCGCGTTTTATTATAAATTCTTTTTGAAGCATGAACATCAACTTTCCATATAACTTTCAGAATGCTCCTTCTACGAACTAAAGCAGGAAAGAGAGACGCAGCTGTCGAGAAGATGGCAACATTGCTCGAGAGTATGGCAACACAGAGAAATGTGAAACTGATTGTACGTCAACGTAATGATGACGTAGCTGACGTCATGGTCTCTTGCGCAATATCTAAAAGAGCCGACAGAACATTGAAATACATGGAAGATAATGCATTCACTGAAGGACCTAACCCTAGTCCTGACATTTTACTGAAAGAGGGTCAACAATTGTTCGTGAAATTTAGGGGAAATGTGGAATGTGTAAGCAAAAATCCGTCACTAAGTTTTATATACAATACAAATATAAGAGCTACAAGGGAATTCAAAATCAACGAAAAGGAGGAATTTGCACAGAAATCGTTGCCTTGTTATAGAGGATTTGTACAGGTGAGAAAACAGATTTAAAGCATCATATTTCACACTACGGTATCCTTTAAAACTGATATCCTTTAAAGCAGCATGCCCAGGATGCATGCTAATTTTCATGAAAATTTGGTAAATTTATTTAAAAGTATAATATTGTGAAGTGAACAAATAAAAGTTATTTACACACTACAAACGGCACTTACAATCGACGTAAATTGCCAAAAAGTTGTCAACATACATTTATGCAAAACTAGCTTTTACCGCGTTAGTTACGGAGTAGAAATATGGTGATGTATCCTGCAAAATCAGACATTACTCCCATACAACATGTTAATTCTTACTTGAATCTTGTTTTCAATCTAAGTTCATGAAGCTAATAGCGGGAACCATAAATATCAAAGTGTCTTCTTGGCGCAATTTTATGAAATGAGCCGTGTCATGACAAAACCAACATAATGGGTTTGCGACCAGCATGGATCCAGACCAGCCTGCGCATCCGCGCAGTCTGATCAGGATACATGCTGTTCGCTATCAGTTTCTCTACTTGTAATAGAGTTGGTAAGCGAACAGCATGGATCCTGATCAGACTGCGCGGATGCGCAGGCTGGTCTGGATCCATGCTGGTCGCAAACCCATTATGTTGGTTTTGTCGTGACGCGGCTCAAATATTTCATTGTATAATGTACAAAGATATATAGATATAAATAGAAGATTAATCAATGGAAAGGGATATATCACAATTATAAGAGTTACTTCGTTCTTTAATATTTTCAAGAGCACAAAACAAAAATATCGCTTCGAAATGAGATAATGTCCAATTATTTAACTAAAATACATGTACTTATTTATAGGTTACGTTATATAGTAATGTATAATTTTACATTACAAAAAGTCAAAAACTAATTCTGTATTTCACGCATTTTCAGTATTTGAAATATGTCTTATATGTATATCTGACTAATTTATTTCAATGTCTCGATGATATCATAGAAATATTTCTATCAATTTTAGTTTATAAATCAATGGTACATTTGAGTACAATTTGTTAAATTATTTAAATTATTATGAATCGTTATTGTGCATCATATATCATGTTTATCACTTACTGTTGGACTGACTAATCAGCACTGGGCTATTGTTGTGAGACCCTTGAATGACTCAAGCCCATTGTCGTACCCCGATTGAGAAGTGATATACCTTATCTTCAAGACCACTGCTCACTTTTTTGTAGTGCTTAACATAAACATGCTAAGATGACTTCCATGAAAGAAATAAAATATCTCTACCAAATATCGTGTCAATCATACGTTTGCATTAAAAAAAGATTTGCAATAGATATTTAATAACATATATCGTTCACTTCTTTTTTAAAAGATATTCACCAAAGCCCTAGTACCAAGTCCACAGCTAGAAGGGGCACCGAAAAATGTACAACCGGAAATGATTGAAGCGGAAGTGCTTCTGGCAGAACTTCTGGTAGAACTACCAAAGGTTTGCTTCTTATTCTCTGTTATGATTGTATGGATCATGAAACGATTTTTGAGCATATCGTGAAGAGGATATAATAACGTTTTTTACGAATTATGCCAAAAACACACGAAAAGTTACTTTTGCATTTTAGTATATATACAATGTAAATTAAGTATATTTTATAAATGATATACGATATAAACAATAAACTCTATGTTTCGTCGAATAAATTGTACATGGATGTACATACGATGTACAATATTTCATTGGAATAAACAAGCTTAGCTGGTAGAATAATCTTCACTCACTTACTGAAGTATTTATTACTATTTTATGAGCGTATGGTATGATTCTAAATGAATAAATTATATAATTCTTAATTACAGCCGGAGGCAGAGCCTCCGAAGCCATTGACAACAGCACCATTGCATTTAAAAGAAGGTAAATAAGTCTTATGCATGTTGAAAGTAAAAAGATTGAGGCAAACATACAGCAAATGCTACATGTTATTATTAAACACTTTAACATATCGCTTTTTTATTTTCTGAACAGTTTCGCAGAGACATTGAAATTGAATAAAAAATTTGATTTCTCTTTGCAAATTCAAAAGTAAATTCGTAAATGAATTATACATATATTTGTTAATGTTTGTATTTTATCGTTTGACAGGACCTTTAACAAATGGCGTACTGAGGTTAATAGCGGGGATGATAGGGAAAGAATGGAAAGAGGTTGCCGCGCAACTTAATCTAAAACCTATGCGGATACAGGCCATTCTGCGGAACCATCTAAACAAAAACACTGCAGAGACCAGATTTGATATGTTGATCACGTGGGCAAAGCGAGTTCCAAAGTCAGTGGATAAGGTCAGTAGTAATAGAATTTGCAATGCTCACACGTTTCTTTAGAACTACTACACCTCATCTAAGCCCATTTTTAGTATAACAATAATAACTCACCTAAGCCCCTTTTTAAGTATAAAAATAAATAAAATAAAGGGGGTAAAGGACCAGACGAAGACAGAATGTAGTTCTAGCTGTCTAAATGGTCTTTCGTTACATTTATGGGATTATTCGTATTTATGTTATACATATAACGTATACGGGCTTTCGTGATCGAATGGTTCAAATCCATGATTATCTGTCCCTGATCGCTAATAGTGCGAAACCTGCAAGGGATTCGGAGGGTCTGTGGTTTTATCCTGTGCCCGTTTGTTCAGAAATAATACACGAAAGGGCTGAACAGGCCACAAGCTAAGTTCAAAAACTGACATTTGACCATAACCATATTTGTTTGGCTGAAAAAAAATTAAAAAAGAGGAAAAAACATTTGAACAAAATCTTATTTATCGATCATAGTTGAAGTATACAAAAAAGAAAGCAAAAACAGCGCATACAAAGTAATTAAGTAACAGATTGCATTACTATTACCAGGTACAAATATTATGCAATGCTCTTAATGCATGTGGAAGGGCCGATGTAGCAGAGGAGGTGCGTCAGAAGGGTCAACAATACAAACAACAGAGGTTCATGAGTGCTAGAGGTAAAACACATCGTGTTTACGTTCTTTTAAGTTGCTTTCATGTTTTTGAATTGTCACATCTCTCTGCGTATTCGTTAGTATCATTTTTTGTATATTATGGATTTCATAAACTAACAATGCAAAGTTTTATTAATTGATGTAATCAATGTAATCATAAGGTAAGGACAAGAACATTCAAACATTTAGTAAGTCAAATATTCATATAATAATCTTCTATGATTTCTGAAGTGTCGCATCTTCGCCAAGCGTTCGTTAAAGTTGCCAAAACAACAGCTGTCTTCAACCATTGGAAGAATTTTGCAAAAGATCTTGGCGTATCGGAGGAAAAGATAAAAGAAATTGACGAGTCAGGTGGTTCGGGTCAGGAAAAGTGTTACACAAGCCTAGAAACGTGGAAGGACGCTGAAGGGGAAACGGCCACGGTAACAACGTTGGCGACATTCCTAAAATCAGCTAAACAGGAACGCTTGTCCCGTAAGTCTTTAAGGTGTTTGTAGTTACTCCCATAATTTGCTGATTATTATAATAATTACAAAGTAGCTTTCATTACTTAGGTCCATAATGAAGTTTATCCAAGTTTTTTTCAATCATTTTCTAGTCCGATTCCTAGAACTAACCGGTTCTGGTATACAATGAGGAGTCGTTGTTTTGATCCTTGTAGGATTCGAACTCATGATCACTGATTTACGAGGCAGAAACATTTACCACTGGGTTAACTCCCCTCACCTATTTATTTCAAAAATCATACATATTAAAATAGAGAAAACTCAACAAATATAAAGTTAATTCAAATGATGAAAGAAATCTTTGTTTGCTGTAAAACTAGAAATTTTCAAGATAATAAACGAAATGTATTGACTTATTCTGGCATTTTATTCTTGAAATATTTGCCAAATATCACACTTCTTCATTAGTAATTATCTGTTTATATTGATTCTTTTCATATTTTGTCAATCATATTATACAGATTATTGACCCCCAAATGACTGTCACTTTTGGCAAAGGGAGGTAAATATTTGTAAAAATCGGGAGCCGGCTAATGTAATGTATCTTGTAAAGAAAATTAAACAAAAATAATAGGAAAGAACAAACTTTTTATTTTTGATTTGTACATAGTACATCATTATAGTTTTATACAAAAAAAAATTCACTCAACATGTATATTAAAGTGCAATCAATATAATGAAATCAATAATACATAAAAATACACAATAGAATATGTAAAGGCATATTTCTTTTTATTTTAAGGTGATCTTGAAACGATGGTTGCAACATAACTGAGAGAAAGAGCCGGAATGTTTCAAAAACGTTCTATGCAAAACAAGAAGACTCTTTTGTATGATCAAAAATCAAGGAAACATTAATCACGTGAATTCTTCATGCAATACACAAAGTATCTTTTTTATTATTTTTTCAATTATTATTTATTAATTTATTTTTTAATTTTGTTATCTTTTTGTTCTGTGGTTTTGATGTGTTTGTGTTTGTGTTATTTTGTTTTGATTTATTTTGATATTTCTTAATAATGCGAAGATAACTGCACGTATATAAGTGTTGTGTAGGATGCATTTGTTATCAAATTTGTTGACGTTTGTAAAAGTTATTATTTGAAAAGTGCTGTGATAGTGTGACAATTATTGTTGATTTTTTGTTTCCGTTTTATCGTAGTATCATATTTTATCGTGAAATACTAGCCTTTACTGCCAGTGAAGACCCAGAGTAGCTGTACATTCTGGACAGTCTCCACAGGCTTTTACTATTTGTAGCTTACTTATTGTATACTTATAAATGAAATATTGAGAAATATTGATGCAATAAAATGACTATTTTCATTTTTCGTATTTTCACTGTAAAAATTTATTTTCACTTGCAGTGAAACACATTTTCTGTATTTTCACTGGTGTCCTGACGGACTATTTTCTTTTAAAATCAGTGAATACAAAAGAATTAAGGGGAAGTCTTTTAAATTGTAGCCAGAAAGAAAAAAATAATTATAATAAACAGAAAATTCAAGCAAGTTTTCTCTAGAAATACAGCTAGTGAAATACATATTTTCATACTACATAAAATAAATCCAGTATTCATAGAAAAAAACTTGAATATCCTCTATGTATTTTAATTCTGAAATCTCTTACTTTATAATTGAACTTTTCTAATTCAAAGCTAGGAAAGTCCATTGCGTTATTCAACAGGTAAAGGTAGGAGTGGAGTAAGGGTAAAATCATCATGTTATTTTGACAAAGATTTGGATATGTGTGTCATTTATTTATCTTTAAGGTAGTTTGCGTTTCAAAGGAACTTCCATATGTACATTGCTATCAGATTAATACATGTATAGATATAATATACTATATACATTTTTTGTTATTTGTAAACTGTCTTTGAAATATCAGGGGATCACTTATTAAAGATTTTAACTTACGATATTTTATATTTCAATAACTTGACATTTTAACAAATTGTCATATCTACTTCTGAGGCCATTAATTAAGACATTGTAAAACACGTACCGCTACAAAGACAATTTGCAAAACATAATGGGAGCGTGGACGGCAGTTGCCTTTACCACAATCGTCCATAAACAGACACAATTAAAACAGGCCTGTAATACTTTTTATTGACCTTTAAACTTAATCGTATTAGTATAGAGCCAGGACAGCCTGCACATCCTGAGTGGGCTATAAAAATTTTCATCTGGATAAGCTTAAATTGACAAAAGCCAGTTCCAAGAAATGAAAGTGAACTAGTATCTAGCGTGGTTTGATGCAATGTTTATAGTAAAGACTGTCTTTCTGTTAAAATTATAGCCCCTCGAGCAAGTTATTTTACTGCGGTCTAAAAATACATTAATTCAACAAAAATGTTTGTTTTTTTTTAATTTGTTTAACCCTTTTGTTTGTTTCAAATGACAAAGTATATATATAAACCCCATAATGAACGTTATTCGTTCAACATTCCTTTAAACACATATAGATTATAAAACACTTATTTTCTAAACAAATACGTTGTCCAATATACACTCGCAATTTCGACGAATACAATAAATGAAAGTGAAGTAATTTGCCAAAAACCATTTTTCATCTCAAACAGTCCCGAATCTTGGAAACAAATTCTAGCGTTCTTACCGCTTCTATATTCCCTCTTATGAAGGAGGAATTCACCTTCGGACAAAACTTTCCGTGTCTTTATAATGATAAGAAATGTTTCTTTATCATTCACAATAAACTCTGAACTGATTATTTCAACCTGCTGGCACAAGTTTAGCTTTGTGATGAAATGTATATTTTCAAAATACATTCTAATTCGATGTAGAACATGAAAAATAGGTGACCGGATCTGCTTTGAAGCATTTCCAAAGGCTAAAAGACTTAAATGACGATCATATACGTACAAAACATTTGAAAAACTTGATTTCAAATCAAATGTTTCGTAGCTTAGACTAAGCTCCCATTTTTGTTTAAATAACCACTTTACATATTGCATGAGATATTGAGGCCGAATCTTCGAAGCTTTATAAGTCACTTTAACTAGAAAGGATGTAGCATTTCTTGTATCGTCAGTAACTTCATATGCTATGCTTTCAACTCTCCACTTTTTCTTCATTGACCATGTCATACCGGATAACATATTTGTGATATCATTTATTTCATAGATACTGATGCTTCTTTCCAAGGTTAAGTTGATATTTACAACATACGTTTGATTGTACCAGAATTTATTTAGAAATTGGCATTTACCATCTATGTCCCTCAGCTGTCCTGATGGACAAAACATTGGTCGACATCTGCTGCCCTGGAAGAAAAATACATAATTATTATGAGGTATTTATTCTGAAGTTATATCAGTTCTACTCACAAATGTAAAATTTGGAAATTTAAATTAGGATGCATTCAAAGTAGTAAAATTATGGTAATGTCCGTTTCATTTCTAAAGGTCACATAGTAAATCAAACGAAGAAGAATAAAAGACAAAATTACTTGCATCATATGAATCGCATACCAATTGTGGATTTCTTGTATGTAGTATTTTCCCGTTTTTGGATCGATAAACTTACTATCGATTAAAGCAAATAATCCATCTGCGCTAATCTCCCGATCGTTGTACAGTAAAGAAACATTGCAATACAATGTATCTAGTAAGAAGTTGGTATTACAAATGTAGCAGAATACATTGGCATACAGTTTATTGTCTCGCAAAGGCGACATGAAGCCGCTTTCACACATCCTTATTATGTCTATCGTAGAAAGTCCAGTTCCATCTAGCGGAAGAAATTCAGTGTTGGAGCACGTCTGTATGAGAGAAGCATAGCATTTTAATGCTTTGATGTCTTTGGTTTCAGTAGGAGGGATGAAATTCACTGAGCAACCATGCGGAAAAATATCTGACTCGAAGTCTATAACAGAAATACTGGCATCAATATGGGTCTTTTCTATATTACAATCAAGAACAGCATCCCACGCTATACCATCTGTAACCCCATCTGCTTCAGCACACACTATATTCTTATATATTGCCTTCTTCATTGAAGAGAACACAGGAAACATACTTCCCCATGGAGCAACGATTTTGTCACCGCATTTTATTTTAGCGTTGTTGTCCATTCTTGACCCATTACTTACTTTTTCGATAACGGAAGTGACCATGTAAAACGACTGATGATATATGTCATCTACTTTATTCTGTTGAACTGTCGTTGGAAATAAACACTCTCTCAATTTTCAACGTATTCAATATATCTTCTGTTTTTATATTTGGTTGTTTTGGTGGGAAACAACACGTATTGGCTTCTGTACAATTCGAGTGACAATGGCATTCTATGAAAAAAATAACCAATTTAAAAAAAATCTGAAGAAATCGGCTAATGCCAAATGGATGATTTTGATCTACATTTCAAACACCAATATGCTCTGTTAAAAGACTTTTCAAATCTTCAAGACGTTAACTAATTTTTTGTTGATGTTCATATGCTCGCTTTAAAGCAATCTAATTTACTGAAGAAACAATGAAAATAGAAAATCCTTCTTTACTAATTGATATTTAATTAAGTAATATATACCTGTACAACACTTCCAAAATAAGCGTCTAAAATTAGGATTAGTAAGTGAAGAGTTAGTGGAGCGATTCTCACGACACACATTGACACCTGGACAAAACATGTCTATGACTTCAGGTATACGTTCCTTGATGGAAGCAGCGTCTTTAGGATCCAAAGTCCGGGTCATTTTCAAAGTCAATAATAAGAATAAACGAAACATTATGTCTGAAATTAAAAAAATAAAGAGTCAAAGACGTGTACTTTTTGACCATTGCAAAGTAACATAAACATGGCGATGAAATTGGAAGAATTTATTATTTTTGATTGGCAACCCCAACGTTTCGATTAGCGGGGTATTTTTTAGTTATAAAATTTTGATACAACTATTGATTAGTAAACTACAGTATTATTAAAACATTTTGATTATTAATTGTATAAGGAATTATGAAACAACTTTGCAACTAGAAGAATATACATGTTTATGAAACATATGAAAGCGATGATTGAGAAGGAAATGCAACGTTCACGTAACACAGCTTTGCTAAAATTCTGCTTAAAAGATTGTTTAATAAAATTTACATAACATTTCAAACATAACATTCAAAAGTTTATAGTTACAGTTAATTCATTTTTATCCTTGAAAGGAAGCAACAAATTATGCATGTATACTTTTAACAAATTAAAGATGAAGAATTAGTTTAGTTCTGTGACAGAAATGATCACTCGTATTTATAAAAATCATAAAATTGTTTCTTAAATTTCAAAATTAAATGTGTCACTTAATTTATTTAAAAATTATGAAATTAAAGAATAAATATGTGTATTAACTTACCTGAATCTAAATTTATCTGGGTGTGAACATATATTGCCTTTTAAGGTGGAAAGTTTTCTTGAAGAAAATTCAAATTAATTGATCTTCTTCTAGCAATAAATTTTAGTTGAATACCCTCGGAATGAATTATATTTTCATTTCTTGCGTGTTATTTCCAATGTATTTGTACATCCTTGTTCCGTAGACGTGATTTATCAACTAGACAATTTTCAAAGTTTTTTTTAAAGTTTTTTTCCACATAAAACAATATTTTCAGTCTTTTAAAATTAGACAAAAGACAAAATAATTATAAGTAATTATTGAGCTCTTAAATTTTTACTATTCACAACTGTCATCGTTAACATTAAAATCACCGTCAAAAAGTATATATTACATTACAGGGCATATAAACTTGGCTTTTTTAAAGTTAATTGGCTCAATTGTAAGACAACTTAATATCGTAAATTAATAAAATAGAAATAAGTTTTGTTAATTTGTCAAAAATATCTGAATATAATGACATATGAATTAGCATCTTAATATATAAATAACATTAAGACAGGGTACCACACATCATGTTTTTCTTAATTGTAGAAAATGACGATTAAGAGGGACTCAGAAGAACAGCTTAACCAGCCTAGAAACGTGGGCGACTTTGAAAAAGAAATGAAGAAACGACGATGACCACTTCATTGGCGACGTTCCTAAAACCAACTAAACATGATCGCTACTTTTCGTAAGTTTTGTGTGGGTTTCTGTGGTAGGTCCCATATAAAATTCGTTTCATTTATTTATAAAACAGTTTAATTTCAGATATTTAACTTTATCGTTAAAGTAGTACTTAACTGTACATAACAACTTATATTAATTATGTTCTAGTCTTGAAAACCAGTACTGTTGTCATATGAGGAATCGTTATTGCGATCCGTGTAGGATTCTAACCCATGATCCCCGATCTGAGAGATTTTAACTTAAAACAGACATGGTACTATTTTTTTTTTCAAAAGTAATGTATTAGGTTAGCATCATGTCAAAACTCAATACATTAAATTTAGCATTTCTTTATTTACTTTATTAACCAGGTTTTCAATTTTGAAAATCCTGGTTATTAGATTGGGGTATGGCGGGCGGATGGGCGGATGGGCGGATGGGCGGCTGGGCGGATGGGCGGATGGGTGGATGGGCGGATGGGCGGGCGGGCGTCAAACGAAATTGTGTCCGCTCTGTAACTCTTCAACCCTTTGAAGAATTTTGATGAAACTTCAGACAAATGTTTACCACATCAAGATGACGTGCAGAACGCATGTTCCGCATGGCTGGCTCCAAGGTCAAGGTCACAGTGACATTAACATTGAAAATCCTGTCCGCTCTGTAACTCTTCAACCCTTTGAAGAATTTTGATGAAACTTCAGACAAATGTTTACCACATCAAGATGACGTGCAGAACGCATGTTCCGCATGG